AAAATAAAAGTTTTAAATTTGAATAATATAATATGCAAATAGTTTAATAATAATATATTTTTATTGAAAATAAAAGTTTTAAATTTGAATAATATTTCTTTAAAACTTAGTTAAAAGAATCAAAATATCATTTTAGGAATAAATTAGAAAATTAAGGTTGTAAGAGTAGAGTTGCATATCAATTTTGAGAGATAGAATTGTAAGTGAATTAGAAATTTAAAATTACGATTAGAGTGTATAATTAAGAAAGAAAAATAAATTGGGGAATATGGAAATGTTCTATTTTTATTTTTTAATTAAGTTAATGGAGTTATTATTTTGTAAAAAAAGAAAAATAAAATTTAAAATACTACTAAAAATATATTATATTATTTAATTAAGTTATCTTATAATTGAGTTTTATTATGTAGTTAGGCAATTTAGACAGTTTAAAAGTAAAATCACAAATCAAACTAATTATATTAATTTTAAAATTTTATAATTCAAATTAATTTAATTTTATATTGGTTTGGTTTAATTTTTTATTGAATTGAGTTAGTTTAGGTCGAATTAATTGGATTGGATCCACTCATCATAAAAATGGAGAAGCAATCATAAATCAAGATAAATCACTCATTTTTTAACAAAAAAAACGTCAAAATTATGTTTGTCACGTCAGTATTTTTAACAAAAAAATGTTAAAAAAATAATTTATTTTAATTTATGACTTAAAAAGATAATTTATCTTTTTATTTTTATGAAGAATGAGTGTATTCCTACTGATATTTTTAAAGGTGGATTTGAGTTTGTGCCTTTCTATTTTTCGATCTGGGTACCTAACATCCGGAATTGTTACGGATGTTGAATTCTCGTCTAACCACGCATTATTAATTCCATCCATTGGAAATGAATTTTTACGCCAATCATGCAAAAAATACAATGACCTTAAAATTTTCAGGTAGTGGCAGATTAGCGCCTAAGCCCAAATCAACAACATACAACCACTTCATCTTTTTGACGGTGGCAAATTAGCCCTTACGTGACGGACGACATCATCAATCCGTCAAAAATTAACAGCTCTCTGTTTAGTGTAGGATCCACAACTTCAACTTGCCTGGATGCCAAGTTGCATTTTAGACTCTAACATGCCTTCCATGTCATTAGAGCATTGGTATTTTTGGATTTTCATAAATTTCCTCATTTTAGATTTAATTAATTAAAATAAATCTAAATTAAATAAATTAAATATTAATTAAAAACCCAAATTAGGCTCTTTAACATATATGAGAATCCAAGCAGTAGCTAGCAGAGCCAAGATTTTAGAGAAGGGGACCAATTTTGTCAACACCTAAATCAAATATGTGCCCTTTATTTAAAAAATGAACTTGTGCCCTCAAGCATTATTCTCTCTGATTTGTTTTATTCATATTAATTTTATTTTTTCACAAGGTTTAACTTAATAAATTTATATAACAAATAGATAACAATTATTTTTTTTTAAAACAGTGTTTATTGAATATTTTCACTTGAATTGAAAAAACTTTTTAGTTATTATTCATTTGTTATATAAAATAATCAAATTAATTAACATAAAGTTGATAAAGTCAAATAGCTAAAGAGGACTAGAGGGGGTAACACATAATTATAAAGTTGTAAACTTGTGTCTTAAACTTGACTATACTTAGTGTGAAATATAATACTTTGGAAATTTTTGTGATTAGTTAATAATCATCTAATTATATTTGTGAAGAAAAAAAAAAGCATAAAATAAAACACATCTAAACAAAATGTAAAAAATTTAGAAACATATAAAAAAAATTGGTATAATCAATAACAAAATAAAATAAAAATATTTAACTCAAGCCTAACATGAAGCCTAGGTGTGCATTGAAGATTGATTTAATGAAGGCTTTTGACTCTGTAAGCTGGAAATTTATTTTCATAGCATTAGAAGCTTTGTCCTTTCCTCCCACTTTTATCAATTGGATTAAGGCTTGTATCACCTCTCCTATGTTCTTAGTTGCTCTAAATGGGAATTTAGAAGGCTATTTTCCTGGTAAGAAAGGGATAAGGCAGGGTGATCCTTTACCACCATACCTTTTTGTCATTTGTATAGAGGTTTTATCAAGGATGCTCAACAAAGCAGCCAAGGAGGGAATGCTACCTTTCCATCCGAAATGCATTAATGTTGAACTGACTCATCTATGCTTTGCAGATGATTTACTAGTATTCACCGACGGTTCAACGAGAGCAATAAGTGCTGTTGATTCTATATTGAAACAATTTTATTTGGCCACAGGTTTAAAGTTGAACTACCATAAGTTAGAAATTTTTTGCTGTGGAATGCAACCTAATGAAATAAGGGAGCTAGCTGATTTGTATGGCTTCAAAGTGGGAACCCTTCCTGTTAGATACCTTGGGGTACCACTTATAACTGGAAGACTAACAGATGTTGCTTTAAAGCCTCTCATCACAAAAATAACTGAGAAATTCAATTCATGGACTTCCAGATATTTGTCATTTGCAGGAAGATTGCAGCTTATTTCATCTGTTCTTCAGAGCATAACAAATTTTTGGTGTTCTATTTTCATTCTACCAAAAAAAGTAATTAAGTCAGTGGAGGGAATTTGTAATGCCTTTCTTTGGAAAGGTAGAGTAGCTGATGCAAGAGGAGCCAAGGTAAGTTGGGCAATAGTATGTCAACCAAAGATGGAAGGAGGATTAGGCTTGAAGCCTTTGCATATTTGGAATATGGCTTGCATTTTGCGATTCATTTGGCTACTTTTCA